GGCTACTCGGGTGAAATGCTCTCGGTTCAGACCGGATCACCCGATCCGGTAGCGATGGTGGCGGGTGGTTCGGAGAACCGGTAGCAAAAATCCCTGCGCCCCCCCCCATGCCCACCTGAGCCACGCACTCATCAGAGGCTGTTTTGTTTTTTTTTTACTTTTAAAAGCATTTTTTCTACAACCTCTTCAGCCAAAGAGGTTGTAGAAAAAAAATGCTTTTAAATGTTTTTTTTAAAAAGAGTTGGCCATGCCCACCCAGTCACATTACCCCCCCACCAACCCACGCCCACAGAACCGGTAGTAACAAATTTTACATTTCACCACTGAGGCTACTAGAAGGTGGGCACCGTACAGTAGAGGAAGAGATTGAACATGGAAAAAGGAGGTTAGTTGTTCTCTCTAAGGCAGAAGACTAATATGAGGAAGTCTAGCTTTATATAAACACATTATTAAACCTCCCTGAAAAATTAGATTTGGAAAAGGCAAAGGTATATTTGCAGAAAATAGGACAGATATGTTTCTGTGTTAAGCCAGGCTTTGTTTACAACTACGCTTTCTGAATTAAACCATAATCATACTTGGGCTTGAACAATATACCACTGAATTGTAAGGAAAATACCACACAGAAATCACATATCATATTAAGATAAACAAATATATACAAAGTTGTAGAAAACTCAAATTCCAAGAGCTCTATGACATTTTAGAATGATATAAAGACATTAAAATAATTTTACTGATGGACATATGGAGTTCTGTTAACAAGAATTGGGTCAATTCTCAGTAGGACAAGTAAAAAAGTAAACCTGAAATGACTGATTAAGGTTAGCTGGGTGAGGATAGGATTTTGACATCTGACCAGACATAGCTGTTACTAATTAAAAGAAATACATCAGGCTACTTCTATTTAAACTAGAAGTTTGAAAAGAGGAAAACATGAGAGAAAGAGGACACAACACAAGGCAGTAGATGAAGACCCTTTCCTAGTGGTCATAGATATGATTTTCTAATTCATTTGCTCTAGTCGTTAAAAAAAAACCTCATAGGTACAAAGACATGATGAACAATCACACTTATATTAGAAAGGACTTAAGAATCTGAAAAAGATGCTATAATATCCTTGCAAAAAGTTAATTCATAATTAATTAACTGTAGATGGAAATTACTTTTTTCCATCCACAGTTAATCATTTTTTAGATTTCTGCTTCTTTTTCTTCCATGAAATGCAAAGTGGAGGATAGAGTTGACCTGGGAACTCTTTTGGTCCTTGTCCAAACAACACAAACACCACTCCATTTGTATTATTTTGCTATAAATTAAATCTGATGGAAATTTTATTCAAGAGTTGTGCCAGTCTGACATGTGGCAAAATGAAAGCAGCACAACTGGGAGTACAAATGCTTATTCTTGTATGCTTAAATTATAATTTTCCTGGATGAATCTTCCATATGTCTATTTCATTTTTGTATCACTTGGTCGTAAACTCTTAACCTCCATAAATCAACTGAGAATAGAAAAAACAAGTTCCATGGGCCACTGTTTAATTCTTTGGTTCAGGACAGAAGATGGAGGAACACCTTTCTGATACACTGGGTGGCCTTGGGCCAGTCATTCTCTCTCAGCCCAACCACTTCACAGGGGTGTTGTTGTAGAGAAAATAAGAGGAGGAAAGTGTGTTGGATATTTGTCTTGGATATGTTCATCCACTTGAATTAGTTGTAAAAATAATAAAGGTGGGATAAAAATAGATAAATAATAAGCAAGTAAGTGAAGTACAAAAATGATTGGAGAGATGAACCAAAACCAAGGAAGATATACAAAAAGAGGGCAAGACTACAGCACCAGGACTATTGAGCCACATTCACCTTATATGGGCTATGCTATCATAAAGCACCAATTTTTCCTCAATTTTGAGATATCTGCAACTTGCTTTCTAGTTTCTTGGTTGACATATTTGCAATCGCAAAATATATTGTTTATCTACAAACTTCAACCAGGCTATAGAAATCAAAATCCCAAACCCAAAATCAACCACATTGAAATAAGTATTTCTTAAAAACAAAATTAATAAAGCAATTGAATTATGATTGTATTGAATTAGCAGAACATATTTTAATTGGGCACCTGTATGAAAAAGACGATTTTCAAAGCTTTAATATTAACAGAACGTAGCTAAAATAATTCAAATGTATTTTTTCAACCATGTTCAAAAGAATCAAGAATCTGATTTTAAATATTTACTGCAATATTAAGATACTGTCAAAAAGTAAAGATTGGAACATATTTAGTTCTATGTAGTCATTATCCACCACAGGACTTCAAATATCTCTGAGGGACAGCAGGCCAAACTCCTTGACCCAACAATTCCCTGGCTCTGTTGCCAGCCATGCATTAAAAGGAGAACATCCTAGCTAGAAACCAATATACATACAACAATATCCTTATTTCAAATCTTCCCTTTTTAATATTTTCAAGCCATACAGTGCGGACAATCAACAAGTAGTTTGCCACAAACAGCATTCTTCATCTGCTTGTGTCTAAATGGTGTCAGGAATGAATGAATGAATGTCCAAAATGAGATCTTCTTGGCTACTTTACAAGTAAATCTAATGAATAGTTTTGTGTGTGACTGGCTATAATACATTGTTTGCCGCAGGCATATGGAAGTTGGTTTAGTTGGAAAAGGACTGATGAGACAAGATAGTTATTACAAGACATTATCTTTCAATCTTAAACAGCTCCAGCCCTTGCCTGCAAACTAGAGATGTTGCATTCATCTATATCAGGCCTACCAACACACAACCACGAAATAGCCTTGTGTGGCCTGCTGCAATTTTTTAAAAGGTTGATAAATTAACTGCCGCCATCCGAAAAGACATGTAGCCAGGCACCTCCAGGCCTCACTGCCACTGTCATCTCCAATGCAGCTGCTGCTCTGCTAACCACCAAACTACTAACTGGCACATAAAGTGTTCCTTTGTGGCCTGCAATTATTTTTAATTTATCCATGTTGCCCTTTCCCTTTACAAGTTGTGCAGGCCTGATTTATATTACAAAGTTATGAAAAAAACTCTCCTTCAGCCTCAATTCTCATGTCTCACAGTATCAGCATTATTTCTCTATCAACCCCCAATCATAATATATGAATACTTTCACTCAAAGAATGGCAATGTAACTATGGAAAAATTTTCCAAACAAGAGAGGGCTTTGGAAGGACATAATTCTGACTTGGTTCTCATTCATCTACAGAGTTGGGGAACAATGTTGCCGAGCAACCTCAAATATCTGAATCTATTTAAGAAGTTCCAATGTTGTCAATTTCTATTCAATTACAGATGGGGCCTAGAAATAAATAAGAATTTATTAAGCTAACTTCCTATCACATAGTGTGTACATGCAGCCAGTCACCACCCATTTTGTGAATAACCCAAACCACCAGCTGAGAGTTAGACCAAAAATATGGGTCCTTTTTTGTGCATTTAACCATTTTTTCCATCAGGCCTTGAGATCCCCTGGCAGCATATAACATAACGATTTTAACCCTTTGATTTTAGCCCTCATGATCTAGAATAGGAATAGGAATAGGAATAGAATAGAAGAATAAAATAGGAATAGGAATAGGAATAGGAATAGGAATAGGAATAGGAATAGGAATAGAATAGAATAGAATAGAATAGAATAGAATAGAATAGAATAGAATAGAATAGAATAGAATAGAATAGTTGGACCTTGGAGGTCTTCTAGTCCAACCCCATGCTTAGGCAGGAAACCCTACACCACTTCAGACAAATGGTTATCCAACATCTTCTTAAAAACTTCCAGTATTGGAGCATTCACAACTTCTGGAGGCAAGTTGTTCCACTGATTAATTGTACTAACTGTCAGGAAATTTCTCCTTAGTTCTAAGTTGTTTCTCTCCTTGATTAGTTTCCACCCATTGCTTCTTGTCCTGCCCTCAGGTGCTTTGAAGAATAGTTTGACTCCCTCTTCTTTGTGGCAGCCCTGAGATATTGGAACACTCCTATCATGTTACCCCTAGTCCTTCTTTTCATCAGACTACATACCCAGTTCCTGCAACAGTTCTTCATATGTTTTAGCCTCCAGTCCCTTAATCATCTTTGTTGCTCTTCTCTGCACTCTTTCTAGTGTCTCAACATCTTTTTTACATCGTGGCGGCCAAAACTGAATGCAGTATTCCAAGTGTGGCCTTACCAAGGCATTATAAAGTGGTATTAACACTTCACGTGAACTAAATGGTCCACCTTAAACAGCAAAATCTTCCAAAGCAGTTACATCACGTTATGTAACTCATTAGAGCACAGAGCAACAGACATTCTAATAATTGATAAACATAGGTACATCAACTTGATACAGCAGGTTTAAAAGACCCGAGTTCCAAATCTCAGGGCGATTACTAGATCGTAGAAATTAGTATACAACTGGTTGGTTGGATTTCCAGAGTCCACATCTGGCGCCTTTAAGCCATCACAAAATGAAATTCAGTATCTAAATCCGCAGCCCTGCTGATTTAACAAAGGTAATCGTTAATATCGGTTCGCTTTTCAACTACCTACAGATGCAACTAACTCCTTTTGAGTGCAATGCATCACGCTAACAAACCCTTGTTTGTTTTTTAAAAAATATTTTTAAAAAAAGTTTGCTCTAGAAGCCACGTTTACGGGAAAGCTCCATCTACCTCCACGGAGTTTACCGTGGCGTAACCCGGATCGGCTCTCCCGGACGGAGCAACAGGGCCGAGCGCTACGCTCAACCAAGCCCAGCTACCGCGCGCTAACTAAGCGCGCTCAGAAGGGAAGGGCGGGCCCGAGAAGCTCCGGAAGGTCGCTCTTTGCTTCGAGGAGGCGGGCCTATAGCCGAGCGCCGCAAGGAAGGAGGCGGCTGGAGTGGGAGCGAGGCTTCGCGGCCCCGGGAGAAGCCGAGGCGCTTCAGGCCACAGCGTGGGAGGCGCGCGTGGATCGGAGTTTAAGTGGGCTGCTTACCTGCGGAGCCGCCAGCGACGATTTGCTGCGACGCCTCGTGCCAGAATTTCCCGGGTTTCGCCGTCATGGTCGCGTGGAAGGAAAAAGGAGGCAAAGCCGCGCGAAAAGCCCTCCGCGCCGCCGGGGTTGGAGGAGGAGGAGGAAGAGGAAGGAGGAGCAGCAGTTTAGCGGGGCTGTGACTCCCAAAACCGGCGAGCCAGGAGCGCCTCCTTTAACGCGCGAGCGTTAAGAAATGGGAACTGGGAGGGAGCCGAGGGCCCTCCTGCACTCACGGCAAGATGCGCCCGCGGCTTTTCCTTGCTCCGAAGCCCTCCAGCGGCCTGTGTAACCTTTATACTGAACTGCTGGGCATTGTGCCAACACGAGCCCGCTGAACTTTCCGCCCTGTGAAACGAAGGAAGAGGCGGAATGAAGCGTTTTCCCACATCCCGGATCAAGAGTGCCGGGCTGCTGCTCGATTAAGTGTCTCATTTCCGTCCGGACCCGTTATATTGCTTTTCCTTTTTTTTTTTTCCCCGCCCCAGAAATCTCAAGAGAAACCGAGGAAGTACCACTTAAGGGGTGATATGGAGGAATGCTGCTCTCTTGTTTTGGTAGCGGAAATCTAGATAAGTGAACTCTGTCACTAAAATTTAATTAATCTAGTGACACACACACACACACACACTCCATTTGTGCCAATATTCAGTTCCCACCACTCCAGCCCTCATATAATTGTTGGATAGGTATTTTGGAAATTGTGGTTTTAAAAATAAGGGTGCTGGTTAAGGAGGCTTCCACTAAATTGGTGATGAAAATCCCCACATCTCCCCAAAATCAACTTTACCCTTTAAAATTGCTTGGAACAGTAGCTGCTGTAAATATCTTACTTCTACAGGTTACCAAATACTTTCTCACCCCACTGAACTACATACACCTTGCTGCTTAGCAAATTCCCGGTCCCAAGGTACCTGTTTATGGTTTTTTCTTTTTTAAAAAAAATATTTTTAAGAATAGATGCTGATGGCATGCATAATGCCAGCCTTCCGAGTCATCTTTACAGTATTTACAAGAATGTTTCTGAGCCTCCATTGATCTCTTAGATTATAAAAAGTGGTTCAGAAATCTGTCCATCTACCAAGGAAAAAAAATCAAACTTGGTAGAAAGAAGACAAACACATTTTCAAAATTCCAGTTGTGCCCACTAGCCTAGAAACATTGGAAACCATTGAACTAGCTGATCCCAATGCTGGGTGGCTTTTGCAATTAAAAGAGAAAATTGGAGAAAATTGTGTCACAGAGAATTACGGTCATTTATACCTTAGTCACCTTCAGTTGCCCTTTCATAGATACAGATTACTTTTTCCATGGAACAACATGTGATCACCTTTTGCCTTCTGACAAGCAAAATTGATGGGAAAGCCAGATTCACTTAACCATGTTACTAACTTAACAGCTGCAGGGATTCATTTAACAACTTGGCAAGAAAGGTTGTAAAATGGGGCAAAATTCATTTAACAATAGTCTCACTTAGCAACAGAAATTTTAGGCTGAATTGTGGTTGTAAGTCAAGGACTATATGTACTAAAACTTTGCAGCCTTCTTCCCCAACACTCTAGCACAGCGGTTCTCAACCTGGGGGTCGCGACCCCTTTGGGGGTCGAACGGCCATTTCACAAGGGTCGCCAAAGCCCTCTCTCGCCCCCCCCCCCACGCCTTCACTCACCCTCACCCTCTGCCTCTGTTGGATCACCGTTCGCTTACCCTGCCCACTCCCAATCTATTGCTGCCTCCGGAGTCCCAGCTAATGGCTAGAGGGAAAAAAACTTTAAATTCTTGCTGCGGGGCTTCAAAGAGCCGCCCTACAGCTGATCAGTGTTAAAAGAAAACAAATGAATAGACCGGTGCCTGCAAAAATAGAAAAAACAGCCCCTTTCAGCTTCAGCATAGGTTAATTACCATAAGTTGATTTGATCAGCCTCCGGACTCTCAGCTGATTTGCTCTCAGCTGTTTTGCGGAGGGCTCTGTTGCTAACAAAGAGGTAAATTCCTGGAGCAGATTTTTTCCCCCTAGCTATGCTGAAAAAGCGAAAGCGAAAGTAAAGCTGCAACGTGACAAAATGAGGCAGAGAGATTTCTTTTTCCTCACCAAAAAACATAGGTGCAAAACTGCAAACAATGGGAAATTTAGGGCAAAAGAGGAGGTTCAAGATTTTAAAACACAAAAGAAAAAAGCTCTATTTAACTAGGGAATTGTAATAATTGAGATACTATTAATTGTATATTGTGTTGAAAGCAGAAATGGTTAAGTTGTGGTTTGGAGGAATATATGGGGAAAATTATTTGGTTTATTATTATTGGTAAATATAATTAATTGATTTGTAAGAAATTGGATTGCATGGAAATAATTGGAATATTCATGTTCATATTGATTAATATACAAAAAAGATAGTTATATAACTAATTGATTTATATTAAAATGTTGAATTTGTATTAAACAACTGTATTACATAATTACATAATTAACCAATGTGAGGATGGATATAAAAATAGATGACAATGCAAAGGGGTATAATATAGAATAGAAGGGAAAAATTGAATTTGATTAAGATTAGAGATGAGGATGAAGGGTAATATTGGGTTTTTTTAAAAAATAGATGAGGAATAAATATGGTAAAAAGGAAATATAGAAATTGTAAATTTAATTGAAATGACTAAACACTGTGTTGGAAGAAATATCCTTCTGGGTTCTGCTCCAAGTGGGGAAAAAGACACTGGAAACATGGAGACTGCTTGGAAAGATGGTTTAATGGTGGACAGGATCACATGGCTTGAGTTCCTGAACAGAAAAGGGGCAGATACAGTAAATCCTCGGGTTTTTATGGTCTCTCTGGCTTTGCATTTCTTGGGGCCCCGAAAGAGTATCCTGATTGGTTGTCAGACTCCCAGGGGGTGGGAGTCTTAGCTAGCCTTGCTGGCTGATGGTCACATGTGCTTCCCAGGTCAATGCTTCCCAGGTCAGGTGTGGTGAGTTTCGGTTGCTAGATGGGGCCCATTGTGTTAGTTTCTTTTGCTATTGTGTTGCAAATGTCCTTTGACAAAGGATTGACTTTCTGCCTCTGGCCCATTAACAAAGGGTGGGGGGCAGGAAGGTGGGAGCTGCTTTGTCTGTAAAATATGCTTCTCCATTTCTCATCCAGGGAAATATAATATTCTGCCTTTTTAATATTTCCCAAAATATTTCATTCTTCTAGGAAAGGAGTGGGTGCTAACCTCCTACAACTGTTTAAATTTGTGAACCGGCCAAATACTCTGTTCAAAGAAAATACGTTGTATGTTTGTATGTGTGTTTCTAATTATTGCTATTTATTGCTATTTGTTCTCTTTTATTCTTTAAAGTTTAACAATTCATTCTTTATCTTAATATCTTTATATTTGTTTGGGATTGACTTTCTTCCCTTTCATATTTTTTATTGTACAGCAATCTTTCTCCTCAAACCTACCACCTCTGTCTTTTCTTTCCTTCTTACTTTCTCTTCCCTCCTCTTCTTCTTCTCCCTACTTCCTCTTCCTTTCTCCTTCTCCTCCTCTCTTCCTCCCTCTCTTACCCTCACTCCTACTCTAATTTCCCTTCCCTTCCTTCATCCCTCTCTATTGCTGTATCCTTTTATGCATATGGACTACTCAGAGGGCTGAAAAAGTTATTTTTGACTGGTCCTCGCACTTTTGACCAGTCCTCGAACTTACGACTGTCCTCACAATTTACGTTTTTGCCCTATCTTGTCACCATGGTGAAGAGAAACAGTTGTGAAATGAGTGACACGGTTGTTAAGAATGCTACAATGAGCATAAATGATGACCAGTCATAACTGCGAAGACCAGTCAAAAGTGCGAGGACCTGTCAGAAATCACTTTTTTCAGCCCTCTGGGTAGTCCTTTTGTGCACAGGGACTACTCAGAGAGCTGAAAAAGTTGTTTTTGACTGGTCCTGGCACTTTTGACCAGTCCTCGAATTTACGACTGTCCTCACATTTTACGTTTTTGCCCTATCTTATCACCATGTTGAAGAAAAGCAGTTGTGAAATGAGTGACATGGTTGTTAAGAATGCTGCACAGGCATAAATGTGAGGATGGTCGTAAGTGTGAGGACCAGTCAAAAGTCCGAGGACCTGTCAGAAATGACGTTTTTCAGCCCTCTGAGTAGTCCCTATACACACAGCCATGGCCACCCGGTCACATGACCAGCTAGCCACGCCCACCCAGTCACATGACCTCCAAGCCACGCCCACAAAATAAGCCATGCCCACAGAACCGGTAGTAAAAAAATTTAGAACCGACCCCTGGTTGGGGGTCACTACAACATGAGGAACTGTATTAAAGGGTCGCGGCATTAGGAAGGTTGAGAACCACTGCTCTAGCAGCAGTGAGCCCTTTTCCTACCAAATTACATCCCAGGTTCTATGATCTCAACTCAAGCTAGCTTGCCTGCCTCTACCTGTTCACCTCCCCCCCCCCCCGCAGTCTGCCATTGAAAAGTAGGGTGTCAGCTTCTTGGGGCAGAGACCGTCCTGAGGCATTCACAGAGAGCTCCACTTGTAGATGTCTCCCTCCCAAAAAGAGAGTTTCCCTTTCCCTAATGTAAGGCTAGATTTGAAAGATGCAAGGCATACCTCTCTGGAAGGTAAAACAACTGGTCTGTCTGGCACTGAACTCTGCAGACCAGCATTCACATGAAAGAATAAAATACAGTAGAAAGACAAAGTGTAAGTTCCCCAGTGGGGGGAAAGAATCCATCATCTAGTTCAGTGATGGGAAACCTTTTTGGCACTGAGTGCCCAAACTGGGACGTGCACGCACACCGGAGCACCGGAAACCCGAAGACCAGCTGGTCTTCAGGGTTCCTGCATTCACATGCGCACTGGCCAGCTGGTCTTCGGATTTCCAGAAGCCAGAAGAGCAGCTGGTGATGGTGCATGTGCCCACAGAGAGGGCTATGCATGCCACCTCTAGCACATGGCACATCACGGATCTAGTTCATCATCTTTAGAACCAGTATATTGGTTTCTTCACCAGAGAGCAAGAAAAACAGGCCATGGAAGCAATGAGTGTCAGCCTTCAGGATGAATGAATCAGAAACCATAAAGTATGAACGGTTAGAGGAGAGAGATAAAAGGCAAGGAAAGAGCAAATGAGGAAGATATAGTAGTGGAAATGCAATAATAAGAGGAAACAGAAAAGATGCAGATTGTAGAAATTAAATTGTGTACACTGTTATTATGTGTATATATGTAAATAAATCAATATTAGAATTACATGTATAAAGGATAAATTGAAATAAGGGAGAAAAAATGGAAAAGTCAGAAACCATAAAGCAACCCCCCAAATCCTTGTTCCTGCCATCTTAAGGTGCCTGTCCTTTTTTGGTAAGCCTACTGGCAGGGACAAAATCAGTTCAAGATATTGTCATTTTTCAAAGGTTTCAGGGTTTAGGGCCTAGATATCTGGCAGCACCACCTTTCCCTAGTAACACAGGATTCCCCAATAAACTCAAGCAGGATAGGCTCATCCCAGTCCCTTTTCTCAGAAACTCCATATGCAGAGACATTGAACTGTTTCAGTTGACTAGCTTCCTGGAACAAACATATACTGTTATTGGAGTCTATAAAGTATCTAGCATTCATCAAAACATATGTTCCACCTTTTGATCAGAGCCTTATCTCTCCCCCTCCTGCCTAAGAACGTATCTTGAGTTCCCTTCACTCCAAGGGGCTAAATAGCCAAGTGTGAACACAAAGAAGATGATCAGGAAGAGATCTGTGTAAGTTTCTTGTTTGGCATTTATGAGCGTAAACATATTATTGGACTTTCAATTACTTCTTCTATGAACAGCTGTACAAAAGTACTTGCTCCAAGAAGCAAGTTATTTGGGGCATCAATAGGAAGAAGCCTTTGCGTTGTGTTTCTAACCACTAAGCAAATACTTCCATGCAATAAAACTCCAATTACAAAATTATGTGGTAGAAAACGCCACACAAATTAAGTGTTTTATGTGACTCTTGGCTATATTCCCTTTTACAGCTATGCTGTTCTTTAACCAGCTGCTAAGTAGATTTGCAGCAGTAGAACTTCTACAGGCCAATCATCTTTTAGGACTGATAGAACAGAAATTCCTCCTTCCATGTTAATCTTTCATCATAATTCATCCATCCCATTAAAGTCAATCACTCTGCAGAAGCCCCATGCTTTTCTTTTCAAGACTGACTCTTGGCTGATATATCCCCTCTTCTCTATGGACCTAAATGTGTCAGCCTGAGCACAGACAGAAAATTAGAGGCTCAGAATCTAGACTAGAGCAATCTGTTTTCCAAAGCACCAGAAGGCAAGACAAAGAACAATGGATGGAAAGTGATCAAGGAGAGAGATGACAAATTTTCTGACAAAACAATCAACTAATGGAACAGCTTCAGAAGTTGTGGGTGCTTCAACACTAGAAACTTTCCAGAAGAGACTAGACAGTCACTTGTCAGAAATGTACAGGATCTCCTGCTTGAGCAGGGGGTTGGACTAGATGACCTACAAAGTCCCTTCCAACTCTTATTCTGTAGTTCTATTTGGAGTTGAAAACCGAATTCTTTTTCGTTTTTCCTACCAAAAGAAATGAGAACTGACCACTGACTACGACGGAGAAAAGCCAAATTTTAATTAAGAGTAAAGGACAGATGGAAGTTAATAACTCTTTATTAACTCAGGATATATTTTATGAAGAAAAAAGTCTACCTTAAATAATCTGTCAAGCCATTGCTATTCCCACGCAGTCAGCTGGGGTTGCCATACTCTGCAGTGTGCGAAACAGCCAGACTCTGGCTAAAAGCACGACTCAAAAAGGCTAGCGAACTTTCTATTGTCTATTGTGGGACAACGCTTTGAAGGTGTTAATTGGTTGCTGATTAGACAACGGCATGCATTCTTCGCCCCTCACCTTAACCCTGGAAATCCATCAGCGACTGAGCACGGCTAGTTTGGTAAACAATATTAGCATTAAGTTCCGCAGGGAATAAAGTTAACACGCTGGATCAGTAAAAGACAAGCAAGGAAGAACGGGAAAGTACCGATAGACTGTTCCAGTCTCAGGAGTGACACAAGACTAACGTTGCGCGTTTTCCAGGGGTTCCAATATTGGGTTGCTAGGATGTAAAATAGCAAGTGAGTAAAAAACGTATAATCTTCAGAATTTATCAAGAGTTTCCCACGCGGAGCAAGCTTCCAAGAAACACAGGTCAATGACACAAAGCAGGTTCGCTTAACAATTATACGTTCACTTAAGAACTGCATTGATTTGCTTAACAACTGCAATATAAAAAAAAATTGTAAAATATAGGTGCAACAAGTGTGGGAAAAGATTCTTTGAGAATAGAAAGAAGCCACTCAGAAGGTGGAGAGGAAAAGATCTCCACATCTCATTCCTTTTCTCTTACTTTACCTAAGAACCTTTTCTGGAAACACAAACCACGTACCATTGTACAATTGGGGAAGGTTTCTGGACTGAACAGAACGGCTAAAATATGCCGTTCACATTTAGAAAAAGAAAGAGAAGGGAAAGAAGGCGACGCTTTATTTCTCCAGCCCGCTTTCCCTTCCCGGCAAAGATCTCATTTCCGCCCTAAGTTGGGTGGAAAGAAATTAAAAGGCTCAACGACTCCGGAAGTCGATGGCTTTGAGGGAATCTTATCGATTATGAGTCGGCTGCAATTGAGCCGGCAGAGAGAAAAGGGAACCTTCTCCCGCCTTTCTCCTTTTTGCGCGCTTGGGCCGAAGTTCCGGGCGAAAACTCAACACAGGTAAAAAAAAAAAAAAAACCGAGCCCTTTGGACGCGCCTGGTGTTTGGAACGTCGCCGGGCTTTTTTTTTTTTTTTGCTCCCGGGGCAACGCCTCGCGCTTCTTCGGGGGAAATGTGATGCCCTTTGCAGAGCATAACGGGGCGGGTACTTTGGAGGAGGAGGAGAAGGACCACAACAAGCACGTGGCTAATAAAAGGCGGGTTTGCAAATAGGTGCTTCTCGTTCATATTTCGCATATTTCCTTTTAATCTCCTACCCTCCCTTGAAGACTGTCTTCTGAAATGACATTAAGGGAGGGTGGGGGTCAAAAGCATGCGGTGGCGGCAATTTAAGTTACTATAGTACAGGGATCTCCAACCTTGGCAACTTTAAGACTTGTGGACTTCAACTCCCAGAGTTCCTCAGCCAGCTTTGCTGGCTGAGGAACTCTGGGAGTTGAAGTCCACAAGTCTTAAAGTTGCCAAGGTTGGAGACCCCTGCTTTAGCGCACGCACCCTCAATTTGGTCATTCCAGTTCAATCGTTCAATCCCAGCATTCCCTGCTGACGAAGGGAGGAATGACCGGAATTGCAGTGCGGCGCTCAAAGCCCAGCTGATGGATTTGCTAAAATGTTATTTCCCCCTCTCCCTTCAGGAGCTCAAGTGGAAGAAGAAGACCGTTCTTTTTCTGCGGTTGTGATAGGAGCTTGACTGCATGGTTTTTAAAAAATTGCATAAGCACATAGAGGTAGTCCTCCACTTGACCACAACTGAGCCCAGAATTCATTTCTGCTGCTAAACCAAGCAGTGAAATGTATCTTGCCCCATTTTATGATTTATTTTTTTGGGGACACAGTTGTTAAGTGAATTGTTACAGTTGCTAAGTGAATTATGCAGTTGTTAAGTGAATCTGGCTTCCCTGTTAACTTTGCTTGTTGGATGCCGGGGAAGTTTACAAATAGTGATCATATGACCTCTGGCAGTGGTGGGTTTGAAAAAAATTTACTACCGGTTCTGTGGGTGTGGCTTGGTGGGCGTGGGATGGCTTGGTGGGCATGGCAGGGGAAGGATACTGTAAAATCTCCATTCCTACACCACTCCAGGGGAAAGATACTGCAAAATCCCCATTTCCTCCTGATCAGCTGGGACTTGGGAGGCAGAGAATAGATGGAGGCGTGGCCAGTCAGAATTTTTACTACCAGTTCTCCGAACCACTCAAAATTTCTGCTACCGGTTCTCCAGAACTGGTCAGAACCTGCTGAAACTCACCTCTGACCTCTGGACGCCGCAACTGTCATAAATAAATGCCAGTTGCACCTGAAGTTTGATCAGGTAACCATGGGGATGCTGCAACAGTAGTAAGTGTGAAAAGCGGTCGTAAGTCACTTTTTTCAATGCCACTGTAACTTTGAATGGCCACTAACCGAATGGTTGTAAGTCAAGGACTATCTGTATCCCTATTCCCGCATTGTCTTACATTGAAAATTGCCCTTTTCCCAGCTTCACATTTCAACAGAATGTGATTTTCTTAGATAACTTTGCCTATACAAATAGTGTGTATTTGGTTTTTGTCCAGTACTATTGGGCTAGGTTTACAGCAAGGGTCTCCAACTCCTGGGGCACGGACCGGTATTGGTCAGCAGCCTGTTGGGAACCAGGCCATGAAAGTAGCAGGCAAGCGTGCGAAGCTTCATTTGCTCACGCACAGGAGCTAGGTTGTGTGTATGAAACCATCCCTTCCCCCTCCCCATTGCTGCTGCTACCAGTCCATGGAGTCAGAAAGGTTGGGGATTGCATGTCTACGGAACATGTTGTAGTCTCGAGATGATGAATTCCACTTTGACCATTTTGATTTGGCAGCATTTATTATTCTGTTGGCTGTTTTCATTATCTGTTGCAGCAGAGGGCCATATCAGGATGTTATAAATTCAAATACCTCTGTATCATCTCAACAGTTCTCAGCAGTAGCCAGGGGAAGAAGTCATGTTAAACTTAATTTTTATGTTGAAAAAATAACCCTATAAATTAGATTTGATCCAGATTACTGCTTTTTTTTAAACCTGACAACTTTTAAGATGTGCAGGCTTCAATTCCCAGAATTCCCCAGCCAGTACATTTATTAGCCAGTGCTGACTAGGGAATTCTGGGAGTTGAAGTCCATGCATCTTAAAGTCACCAAGTGTATTAAAAAAATGGGCTAAATATTCTTCTTCACTGATATATTTGTCATCCTGGAGGCTGATGAATCTAAATGTAGATGTTTTGACATTTGGCAGTAAATCACTATGTAGAATGTCCTTACAGAGGGTGGCAATTAGCATGTACTAAGATATTGTTTTCCTGGAATTACAAGGATCTGTAATTTTAATCATTTTTTAAAATAATATTTGTGTCTGTAAATAGACCCTAGCACTCTTCCAGATGATAGAAGTTATTTTGATCCAATTAGCCTCTAAGAATACAATCTTCTACACATTTCTCTAGATGTAAATGTTTTGTCTTCTTTTAACTCAGGGTAACTGTAGTATTTCAGTAGAAGAGAAGAACAAAACAGAAGACAAAGCCCTTTCAAAAAAAAATTTTTTTTTTTCTTGTTAACATATCACAAAAAGAGAGATTGAAATCACAGGTTCCCTGAAGCCTTTGAGGGAACATGTATTGTTAGAATAAAGTTTGTGTTCCCACTAAATCAGTTTGTACAGAACTTTTAGGATCATCTATCCACCCCTTAATCATTCAGGAAGAAATGAAGAAAGCACATCTTTCTCCTTCTGTCCTGGCCATTTTTTACAGAGGCATGATTGAGAGTGTTTTAACAAACTGCATCACTGTTTGGTTTGGTGGTAGCCTCAGATACATGGCGCGCGCACTTCCGAACCGACTGGGAAGGTAAATAGATTTCACCCCTGCTTATAAGTGCCAGACATCATAGGTGGTACAATAGGTAATATAACAATACATTGATGACTGATGCTACCTCTCTATCTGAGCAGAAGTATATAAAATGGCTGTATGAGAAACATTTACATTGTATATTTGCCTGTGGTCTCCATAATAGATATTAGGTCCAGAATTGTGGAAGGCAAACAAATATAATCTTTCAATTAAAAAAACTAAAAGGGCAAATGTTTTTAACTCCTTCAACAATATCAGATAATCTGTTCATTGGAAAAGAATCAATAAATCATTGGCCAACACTGAAAGAGAGCCACTGCTACCTTTACAAATCTTAATGATCTGTAAGTAATGATCCTGACAATGATTTAGATAGATTGAATCCCAAGTCCCTATTTTTGGTAGAAAGAATTCGGGAGAGAAGAATAAATTATTGGGGGGAGCAGCAAGGTTAGATTCCTAACAGCATGACTCTAGAGCAAGGGTGTCAAACTCGTGGCCCGCAGCCTGGATGCTTCATGCACTGGCCACGCCCACCCCGTCAACTCGCGAGCCAAGCTTGAGGCTCATGATTTAATTAGGGCATCCGTTGGAACCCTGACACCCCCGTTTTAGCGAAGGGAAAAGTCCCGATATGTCACGTGATGACGACGTGAGTTTGACGCCCCTGCTCTACAGTATTCTAGCAAATATTGTCATGAATCCAAAATGTTCTGGGTGCACCAATGTTGTTTCTACAAATAGAAATTCTGATGTTCAGTAGATGAGAGACCATGAAGGTTGTGCAGGCTCTTTTTTTGGATGCTTATTATTGTGATGCTGTGAAGTGAGGTTTGGGTAGTGATATCACTGATATACTCAAATGTTATGAATGTACATTGCATTCATTGCTTACTGGCAACAAAACAAAACCAGTCTAACCAGCCCAACCAATTACCAGAAGAAGGGAGATTGTCTGCAATATGCTGCTGGCCTGGGGTTTTTTTCCCTGGCAATGAATAATTGGTTGTTGTTGTTGTTGTTGTTGTTGCTGCGTGTGTGTGTGTGTGTTTCTTCTAGGGTTTTATCTTTGTAAGTTGCCTGCAGTTACTATGAACGAGTTGGATGGCTATATAAATTTCCATACTAAAATAAATAAAATAAGGTGCTTTTTGTTCATTATTTCCTGCTCTCTGCTTGTTTATTTTATATTTATATAAAATAAATCACATTATGTCAATTGACTTTGCTGATTATAGAGCAGATACCTATTGGATTGTATTCACTATCATTCCATTGATGCAGCTTTCTAAAACAGACTTGGGAATATTCCTGGGATATGAAGAAATTGAAGAGAAAGACAGGATAAAAAATAAATACAAAAGAACATAAACATAGAATTGAATCAGCTACATCCCATACATTGAATTCTAGTTTTGTTTTAAAATATTGTTAACTGTTTTAAAAATAAGATTATTCTTTAGAAATAATTCCTTAGTTTACACATCTTTTAAAGCATTCTAAATTTTATGATTGAATATATGCAGGGACTCCTGCATAATATCTATAAAATACTTTTTCTCCAAGAATGTCTTTGCATGAGAGAAAGAGAATGCATGCAAGCTGGATATACATATATACATTGTGGCTTATGAGAAATACAAATGCAAAGACATTCTTGGAGAAAATATATGATTTTATAGATATTATTCAGGAGAAAACTTTATTCCCAGGCTAAACAGAATATACTTTCTCAAAGGTTACATTTCAAGAGTTACTTTATTTTTAGAAAACCAGCTCAAATACATCTCTTTTAGTAAGGCATTGACTTTTAACCTGCATTTTATTGTTTTTATTTTTAATTTTATTACCACCTTGAATATTGTGTTCAACCAAAAAAACAGAGTGCATACAATTAATATTAATAAATATGCATTAATAATTCCTGGTTCTACCTCTAAAATAATTTCTTTTTTTTTAATGACATTATACCAACATTATTTTGCATCCATCTATAGCTCAGTAGGAATTGAAATATTCTCCAAAGTCTCTCTGCGCATGTTTGAGACAAAAGTCTGAAAAGAGGCTTATTCAAATATTTGGGTAGAGGTATTATGATTACAGTAAATTAGAATTATTTTAAAGT